TATTGTTATCATGAAAATCAGATTCAGCACCCATATCATGCAAATCATGCTCAGTATCATGCAAATGCTCCACCTCACTCGAGGTGGTGGGACTATCATGCTCAGAGGAATCAGAATCATGCATAACAATATCATCAGAAATAACAGGATCAACAGATAAAGGACTAGCAGCAACAGGGACAGACTCCACCTCACTAGGAGTACTATCAGACCTAGACTCAGGATTAGAAGCAGACTCGGTCAAGCAAGGAAAATCAGTTTCATTAAACACCACATTTCTGCTAAGGACCACTTTAAAGCCTACCTGGTTCCTATCCCATAACCTGTAACCCTTTACCCCCTCTGGATAACCTAGGAAGACACATTTCTTAGACCTAGGATCCAACTTGTCACCCGGTTGGTGTGCATACGCTGCACAACCAAACACCCGAAGGTTAGACAGATCAAGAGGCTTACCGGTAAAGACGGTTTCAGGACACTTACCACCAAGAGGGACAGACGGGGACCTATTAACCAAATAGGCAGCAGTAGTGACTGCCTCACCCCAGAATTTCTTAGACAGACCAGAGGTAGCTAACATGCTTCTAACCTTATCCAACAGAGACCTATTCATTCTCTCAGCTATCCCATTCTGTTGGGGAGTATAAGGCACAGTTTTGTGCCTTTTTATCCCACAATCCACACACAGCTTATCCATCTCCTTATTACAGAACTCTAACCCGTTATCAGTCCTAAGGGTTTTAACCTTCCTGCCAGTTTGGTTTTCAACTAGGGTTTTCCACTCCCTAAACCTCACAAACACATCAGATTTGTGTTCTAAAAGGCAAACCCACACTTTCCTAGAAAAGTCATCAATAATAGAAAGGAAATATTTCCTACCCCCGTGGGTAGGAACACTGGCAGGACCCCAAACATCGGCATGAACATATTCAAGCACAGACGAACATTTAGACAGATTAGGGTAAGAGGAAGGAAGGAAGCTGACTCTATGCTGCTTGCCTAACACACATGATTCACAGAAAGGCACAGAAGTCACAGAGTCCTTACCAAAATAACCAGCCCTACGCATGACATCTAAACCCTTATTGCTCATATGTCCTAGCCTATTATGCCACAAAGAGGTCTTATCAGAACATACAACATTCACAGATTCAGCAAAAGGTTTAGCATGGCACACATAAAGGTTATTCACCTTCTCAGCTTTAAACAAAACAAGCGAGTTTTTCAGGATTTTCATACAACCATTCCCCCACTTTCCCTGTAACCCACTACTCTCCAAAGCAGCAACAGATAACAAGTTATGACACAAATCAGGGACATGCCTCACATTCTTAATGGTAAACACAGAGCCACAAGAAAATTTCAGACATATATCACCAACACCAAGCACATTGCATCTCTTATTATCAGCTAAGGAAACGTAGCCACTATCACATAATTCATAAGTAGAAAACAAATCTCTAAAGGGGGACATGTGATAGGTACAACCAGAGTCAATCAACCATTCATGCTCAGACAGAGAATTTCTCACAGAATTAACATGGTCACAAACCATCAAGATATCACCAAGGTCACATTTATCAACAGCTACACTTGCATGCTCGGTCTTCTTAGGGTGGGGGCAATCCTTAATGAAATGGCCAGTGTTACCACAATTGTAACACACTCTCTTCCTAGATTTGCTCCTCTTCCTCCCAGGCTGACTAGTGTTCTTACCCTGACTATTTTGCTTAGGATTCTTAGACCTACCCTTAGATCTACCTCTAACAAACATAGCCTCACCGGAGTCCCTGGACTGACTAGCACTACCCCTAGCATGTTTCAGGTCTAATTCCTTACTCCTTAACCCATTCACAACAATGTCTAACGAAATCTCATCCCTACCATACTTAATAGCGGACTTAACATCATTATAAGAGTCGGGAATGGCATTAAGTAATACTATGGGAGTATAATCGTCTATGTGTTTATCACCTGCCTGTTTGATATTCTGTATCAGTTTATTAAACACATCCAGGTTCTCATCAATATCCTTAGTCAGGTCAAGCCTAAACCTAAAGAATTTCTCTAGTAAGAACAACTTCCCGGGCAAAGAGGTATCAGTATAGAGACTATCCAATTTCTCCCACAACTCCTTAGCGGACTCAAGAATACCCACTTTCCTAAGCACAGAATCAGACAAATTCAAGTAAATAGTAGAACAAGCAGTTTCGTTCATTTCAATTTGCTTAGCCTTATCTTCTGATTCAAGGAAAATACCAGTGACAGCTCTGAAAACTTTTTGCTGTATTAACACACACTTTATTTTCTGTTTCCAAATATCAAAATCTGTTTTTCCATTAAATGGAAGCATACCATACTGATTCGCAGCCATGGTATCAACCACAAAAGGAACACAAAGCTAAACAGATAGAAATGACAGAAAATAATCCAACCCGGGTTATAAAGTATTCACCTTAATAACCCCGGGCAGCATGCAACACATAGCAAAAATGGACATAATGGCAATTAAACAATTCCGGACAGAAAAATAAATTTAATTAATTCTACCCCTACCACCCAATAAACCACCCCTACGCATAACAATTAATTTAAATAACACAAAACAATTTAATTAATTAACTAAAACAGCCTACCACAAAGGAGAGAGTTTAGTACGTACCTGGGGGGTTGGCGGCCGGGATTAAATCAACCGGCGGCCCGCGGGGAGGGGAAAAAAATTAAACTAAATTAAACCCGGAATATAACAAACAGGAAGTTTATCGTAAACTTACCTTCGCGAAACCCTAGGAGAGCGTTTCGACCTTACCTACCCAAATTTAAAAAAATGGGATTTTTCTGGACATTGGACTGATTTTGACCGACGTTGACCGGCGTTGACCGGCGGCGGTTGACTGGCGTCCAGCAACTCCAGCCCAGGTCAGCGACCCGCTCCAGCCCAGCAGTCCAGTAGCTCAGCTTCAGCCCAGTCTAAAACAGCAGCAGTTGCTCCAGTCAGCAATCCAATTGCTCCAGTCAGCAATCCAACAGTCCAAAGCCCAAAAGCAGTCCAGCAACGGTCCAACAGCCCAGAGTCCAGCAGACTTCTCCAGGGGATTCTCCAGCGGTTCAAAACCAGCGAACCAAATTTAACGAAAAAAACATTCTTCGTCTTCCTCGCTTCATACGCGGAACCTGCGACGAAGGCCGTCGAAGGAAGACTGACGACTTACCAGCGCTCTGCTCCGGCGACGACCAGAGAACTCCGGCGGCGACTCCTCTGCAACAAGCGGCGAGCTTCCAGGCGGCGAACGAACTTCCAGCGGCGGTGAGCTTCCAGCGGCGGCGAGCTTCTGGCTATGGCGGTTTGAGATTCCGGCGAGCTCGTGAACGACCAGCAACTCCAGGGCCCTTCGGCAAGCTTCAATTGACGACGGCGGCGGACGGCGGCGGCGGACGGCGGCAGACGGCGAACCTCGCTCTGATACCACTGTAAGGTATGGATTCCATCTCCGGCTCAGGTCTTTCAACACACACTCTCACACACCACACTAAGAGGAGGCTATAGCACACAACTCTCTACTCTCCACAAAGGACCTCTCTACACTCTCACACAAAGGAAAGGAAGAAGAAGGGAGCACTGCTCTCTCTGGAATGCTTTCTGCGCAGGCTGCTCAACAAGGGAAGAAACAGAGGATACAAATAGGCTGCCAAAGTGTGTCACGGGTGAGGTTTGACAAAAAACACTCACATGCAACTTAGACAAAGGAGTGTCACATGTATAGGCCAAGACAAAGATGGATGCAGCGGACAGAACACAAAGGGGCCAGCCAAGTGGGTAAGTCAACCACTCAAAATAGGTATATATTTGATCAGGATATATACCACAGTAAAGATATCCCAGAGAGAGTAAAATAGAGTGTGCAAGCCTCAACAAATAAAGTGGAAGGGAGGCCTTGGTAGGACCAATACCTCCAACAAACATCTTCCTGCCAAGCATTGATAATATATATTCTAACAGTTGATCATATCATCTTCAGGCTGTTAAGGCTTTTTAATCTACCTCATCGATTGCTTAAACTGAATCACCACATTGAAAATAATAATATGAATAAAGTGAATCAGGAATCCTCTGTTTGCTTGAAGCTGTTGATAGATGAGAACATGAATCGAGTGGTAGCTGCCGAAGCAAACTCAGACTTCGTGGATATACTTCTCAGCTTCCTAACCATCCCAATGGGAACCGCAATCAGGCTCACCAGCAAAACAGATGCTCAAAAAGCAGCGCCCCTGAAAATTGGTTGCATGAACAAACTGTACCATGCTTTTGAAAACATGAGCCCAGAAATCTGGTATACCAAACACTGCAGGACCATGGTGTTGAACCCCAGAAATCCGTGCGCTAACTACTGCAAGAAGTTGAAGATTAATGTGGATGATTCTGGGTCCGAGGTTACATACATGTGTAGCAGAGGAAGATGTGGAAGCAAGTATGAAGATGTTCCCTGCAAGTGCGGTGACACGACCAAGGCCCCAAAGAAAAACGCATTGACTGATGAATATAATGACGGTACGTTTCTGAAGAGGGGGAGGGTAATGTTCATCATCAGCGACAACTTACAAATTCATCCTTCTTCTCCAACAGTTCTTGCCCAGATTCTATCTGATCTTGGTTCCAGCGAAATGCACCAAATCAGTGAGATGTCTGTAGATGTTGGCAAGGAGCAGGTGATCCGTCTGCTAGCACGTTCACTGGTTTCAAAGTCTCCTTTAACCGATGTGTTTCTACCAAAGATTGGAACTTTGAGCTCACCTACCATACCATTGGTACCGCAGAAAGAAGTGGATTACTTCTTAATACGTGGTGTTTTGCTAGCAGAAAGAATAAATGCTCCAAAATTGAATCTGAAAGTGACGTTTAATAAGTCTTCGAACAAGATTCTGTTTGCAGAGGCCACGAATAAGTTCTTTGATTTCCTTTGTACCTTCATGACCATTCCTATCGGTGCAATGGAATATAATTTGAAAGGGAATTCTGGGTTAGGCTGTATGGATGACTTGTACACAAGTATGGTCGAGTTGGATGACAAATGGTTTGATGGCAGTGCTAAAAAATCCTTAAAGTTCTCTAGAGTTGCACAGCACCATAATTGTAAGAATCAGCCTCTACTATCGACAGAAGAGTGTGAGAGTGACATTCTGATTAACCCCAAGGACAGCAAAAACTTCGTGCAAGGACCTTCAGAGTTCATAATTTCAGACGATTTGGATGTGAAGCCCATGTCTTCTGCATCAAGCTTTAACATACTAAAGGAACTAAGAGTCCCCATCACTGAGATTGAGCAGCAAGTACTCCCTATTAGCTTTAAAGAGGTACTTACTCTTACGGCCGGTTTTACCATATTAGCGTATTCATTCATGCATGTGTGCGAGAGGCCGAATGGTTTGAACTTTGAAGTGCCTTTTCAATCATTAAAAGTAATCATGTACTCCGTATAGATTAAGGTTTCATTCCTCCCTCGTAAAATGTTTTTTTTTTATGTTTAATTTTTTTTATGAACATATGACGTGTATTTTGTCGTGGTGTGCACTTCAAAATAAATATTCAATACAACACTTATACGTAGTATTAGCGTAGCAAAGTTCGTATCCACATGGAAATGCATACTTCTCTTTTAATTAAATAGTAGCAAGGTTTCGGCTGCCGCTATTTGGGGCGGTTCCCGGTGGAATTTTTTAATGAAATTTTTTGAGCATCTTCTTCATCAAGTCTAGTTTACTCATATCAAATTTAAGCTAAAAATTCAATCAGGAAGGCAGTCAAATGAATTTTGAAATTTTAATGAAGAAGATCTTAAAATGTTAGTTCGAGAGCCTATTTGACCCTTTAGCCTTGGTCAAATTGAGTTTCTTTTTTGGACCATCTTTGTCCTTGATATGATATTCAAATAAGTGTTAATAATTAGGGATATTACTTGAAATAGGACTAAAAAGGTTTGAAAATTCCAAAACAGGATTACTATTTTTTTATTCCCAAAATAGGACTAATTACTGCCATGTTTTGGCAGTACCAGACTTCAAACATGGCAGTATTTTCCAATCTTGGCAGTAATTACTCCTATTTTGGGAATAAAAACCATGGCAGTTTTATTTTGAAATTTTTCAAACTGTTTTAGTCCTATTTCGGGAACTTCCCCTAATAATTACTCCATTCATCCTTTTATGTAAGATAAGAACATTGTAATTTAATTTTAATAAAACATGTTTTATAGATTATTATTTGACTTCATAAATGCCTTTTTTATTGAGGACGTTTAAAGAACATTCGTCTGTTGGAGAGTGATAGAGTAAGTTGACAATAATTTGATTACCAAATAGGAATACAAAAATTTGTTTAAGAACATTCATCCATGCATAAAAGAAAAACAAATTCTTTAAGGGAATGAGAGAGTAACAAGTATCTTCTTTATTTTCATACATTTGTGTCAAACACAAATGTAACCTACTTAGTATTTTTGTGACAGATCAGAATATGTGTCTTGGAATTCTTCTTGGGAGAAAACACAAATGCAACCTTTATTATGGGACAGAAGTAGTGAAATCTGATCTATAGAATTACAGATACACTAAACACGTTTAATGTGAGGCAAAGTGTGAACATTTTGTGCTAAAGATTGAATTTTTGTTTTCCAGGGAAAGGTATTTAATGAAACCACATAGACTAGAGTGTAAGGCATCTCCGATGCTCATGGTGCATTAGTATTAAGGTGGAAGCCAAATTACAAATGGAAAATGGTCTATTCCATCAGTATGTGAGCCAAAAGTAACAAAATGGAAAGCTTCGAAATTAAACATCCGTACGGACTCTAATGGGGAAGACAACAATTAAAAAAATGAGAGCAATCTTTGAAAATATATACTTCGTACATTGTAGGCTTGGTCTACTCAGAAGGGAAGTTTACCTAAATCCAACTAAAAGACACTCTGTATGAGTAATAATTTAATTACATACGCGTAGTATGTACTTTATTAGAAATAAAAAGTTAACTAGTCATATTTTAGGAATCACCACCTCTTTTGATGATACTCCTAATAATTTTGTCTACTAAGAATTGGAGCTAGGACTGGCGGTCTAAAAACAGACCTCATTGGGGAATGGGGATCCTACCCACCTTCCTCCAAAGCTAACTCATCTACACTCGGTACATTTCGACCTTTTGGCACGAGAGAGATTCTTTGAGTAGTCTAATGATTGATAAATGCTACGCAGATGATTTTAAATGCCCATTGAAGGTGCTCTTAAGTCTTAACTCGACAGAGTTTCAATAACTTTGTTTTCAATGTGGATCACCCAAACAATGCTCTAATTAGACCAACACAAACGTTAGATTTTGTGGGTATCTACTGCAGCAATGCAGCCCAAGTAGTTATTTATCTACAAATGTTATTGATTGTTGCAATGTTCATCTTCTTGCAGGCATCGAGGTTTCTAAAGGCGACACTTACATCCCCATCTGCAGTTCTAACTAATGGCTTGGGCTGCTTCTTGCAGAAGCATAAAACATAGTCCCGGATGATCGCGATGTTGCATCTTCTTGCAGGCATCGAGCTTTCTAAAGGCGGCACTTACATCCCCATCTGCGGTTCTAACTAATGGCTTGGGCTGCTTCTTGCAGAAGCATAAAACATAGTCCCGGATGATCGCGCAATATCTCTAGCCTTTGAATGCGCATGAAACTCAAGGAAGTTCAATTCACTTAACATTACTGATTCATCAAAATCATTGTCGTCAGTCATCACCAAAAAGAACATTCTATTTTGATCACATTAAAAATTCTACTTTGATTTTAAATCAACGCAATATTACAATCATTGCAGTGGATTTTTATGTGATTTTTTCAGTCAACTTTGTGATACGTACTCTATAACATACTACTCCATACTATAAAGCATTGCCAAGGAAGACACTACAAAACACAGCCTACATTATACACTCTGTTGTAAAGTGCTCGCTGTACAACTGAGTATTTTAAGTTATACTTAATGAATAATGAGTATAACATTTAAAGGAAATGAGTATTAATATTGTGTGCATGATAAATGGGTCTGAACATAAACAATTAATGTAGAGATTAATATCCTTAGCGCGGTATCGAGCATGTCAGGTTTCATGGCGAGAGATTATATCAACCGATTTGGATGCCTCGAGATTTGGAATATGGGTGATCTTAGTCTCACTCCTGGGATCAGTTTCGATTGGAACCGCCCAGTTTCGAACTGGAATTGGGAGCTGAAAATAAGGTTCCGATTCGGGATTGAGATCGGACTGGCAGAAAAGAGGTTCTGGTTCTGTGGCCTCCAAACTGGTTCTATTTGATTTGATTTTTGTTTTTTTGCTATGGAACCATTGAAGAACATTCCATACAAGTTGAAGGTACATTTAAAATCTTAAAAAAGGTGTAGATAGGGGTGGTGAGAGCAATAGGGGGGGGGGGGGGGGTTAAAACTATACTAAAAACATAAAAAAAACCAAGATCTGCCCAAGACCGGTTGGCCGGGGATCGGAACAAGCCACAAATAGGCCTGTCAATGGGTCGGGTCTAGACCCGGACCCGACCCGGACCCGGTTGTTTTTAACGGGTATGGGTCCTTATTTTATTCCGTTTACCCGGACCCGAACCCGGACCCGTTAGTACTTTTAATAAACGGGTCGGGTATGGTACTTATGATTCCGACCCGTTAAGGACCCGGACCCGTTTAAAATTCTTATTAGTATTTATACACACACACTAATACATAAAGAGATTAGTTATAATACTTCAAATAAAAATACAAACTAATATATATAAAGTGATTAGTTTTAATTCTTTGATTAAAAAGAAACAAATTAATACATACCTAATGTATAAGTGATAATATAATAGTGCGTAGTATATAATATGCTTTTAGTCCAAAAGAACTTTTTGTGGCCTAATTTCTAGTCTAATATACGAGCTTTCTGTGGGAGAGAAAGAGACACAAAGTGCGGAATTGTACGCATCTACAAGAACCGATATTTTATTGAATAAAAGTACTAATTTTCTATGATAAACCTTTTTTTTTTGAAAAGTGAAGATATATTTTGCTTTTAAATTTGTGCATTTTGATTTACATTTCATATACATGTTTTACTATTTTTAAAAATTTATATAATGTCCTGTCAAAAAAAAGTTATATAATGTTGTGCATATGATACTTGGCGGGTCTACCCGACCCGGTTCCGAGACCCGTTGGGTCCGGGTCCGGGTCCAAATTTTTAGACCCGCCGGGTAAACGGGTCGGGTCCGGGTCCTTTATTTACTTAGCGGGTCCGGGTCTGGAACACTACGTTCCGACCCGGACCCGACCCATTGACAGGTCTAGCCACAAACCAGAAATAGAGATCCCGATCTTGGGCCTCCATATATTTTCAAAGACCAAAAGGTCAAGGACTGTAATTGACCCGGAAAGGACGGGAAGGCTTCTCCATGGCTAGAGATTATATCAATCATTTAGGATGTTTTTACTTGGACTGTAATTTACTGGTCTGATCTAGTCTCATCTGGTCTGGTTTTGTTTGGTCTGGTTTCTTTGTATTTTTATAACTATCCAAGTCTGATCTAGTCTGGTCTGGGACGAATTACAGTCCAAGTAAAAACATCCTTACGAGTCGTAGTCCTATGTGTGCTAAGTATTGGGCCATTCGCAAAAGCCTCTTTAATTCTCCATATATATGACTTGAGTTTACAACCTATCAAGTTCATGGCTTCAGTCCCATGGTACGTATGACTAACACCAAACTACAAGCCCAACAATCTCTAATCATTCTTTTATGAAATGTAAATATAAATATCATTCAGAAAAATAACAATTGAAAAACACTAATAAGAGTATTCGTTTAAATTGCAACAAGAAATTGGGATATTTTGACTTTGCACCCCGTTTTTTTGGGTGATATTGGACTTTGCACCCCATTTTCAAAACTTTTAGACTTTGCACCATATTTCCCCTAAAATGTCTTTGCCTTTGCACCCCATTTAAGAATTTTTCTTCACAAAATGTTGTAGATAGGGTGCAAAGTCTAAAAGTTTTGAAAATGGGATGCAAAGTCCAATATCACCCCAAAAGTGGGGTGCAAACTCAAAATTCCCCAAAAAAGTTACATATAAGTTAGATATGATGAATTCAATTAAACCGTTGAAAAACCTTAGGGGTTGTGTGTTGCATACTTGCATCGTACAGAGTATACAATGTTGTAAACTTTCATACAAGACCAGAAAAACAAAAGGAATGCTCATACCCTGGGTCCATCATTAGAATCATCAATGTCTGGAAGAGTTTTATCTTTCTCTTGCACAATATCTGCTTCAAGTTCAGATTTTTTCTTCTTTCGCAGCATGAGAGTCTTAAATATGCGTTTGACGGTCAAGCAAACAATAGATACGAATAGAAAGTTATGGGATCAAATGGGGGAAAATGGCCAAACTTCACTATCTAGCTACAGATTTATACAACAGAACAGGGTACATGGTAAATTTGGAGGTAGACTTCCATACATGGGGGTGATTTTACTATGGGGGTATGGGGCATTTCATTTACTAAGTTTAGAAGTTTTCATTTCTCGTGTAAAACAGCCATCTCGTGCAATCGCTCTTTTATTTGTCTCCTTGTATTTGGTGAAGGTATGCCTTCACAGAGATGTTTTGATCTAGTCCACATCTTCTTTTGTAATTTTATTTTTTCTTTAGTTAAAAAAAAGATCTAATCATCTAATACTTAATCAATTAAAAAAATAGTCAACTCGTGCAATACAGAAATCTAAGGAATGATTCAAATTTTTTTTATTCATCTCACTTGGGGCAGAACAGGAACATCTAGAAGCAAATGTCCACACAGTGAGCCAAAGCAGCAGACAACTTTTGCATTCTTATTCTCTAAAGTTTTGTTGTAAGTTTGTAACTAAACATATATCGTAGTTATTTTCTAGCATACGATTATTTAATAGAGATAAATTAGTACTCCATATCTTTGTTAGTAATATACGGTTCGTGAATAATACAATAATACGTACGTTCGTGTATAATACGATACAATTATATAAAATACGGCTTAATATATGTTTCATACGTTCGTGAAATATATAAAGATACGGACGCTATTTAAACATTTCACAATTTAAAAATACGGCATATAATATGTGTCTTATATACTAATTTAATGATAGAAATAAAAAGTTATTTAGCATTTGAACCACATTCTTCAACAATTTAAAATGTACGGAATAATTTTTTCATATATACGGATTTGAACACAATAAGTACAATAAGTAATAAAAATGGCATTGCCTATTTGAGTAGAAGTAGAGAGATATTATTAGAGAATAGTTGATATTACTGTGACCATGAGTTTGGTGAGCCGCCACAACATTTTTCGATCTCTTTGGAGTCTTGGTATGGGTGAAGAACAAAAGTAATACATTAGTAGTACAATAGTAGTATTGAAAAGGATTACGAATTTAAGAAGTTAATTTATTAAATGTAATGACTATAAAACAATTAACGAACATATAAGGCATAAATTTTTTAAGCAATATAAATAATATTGAGCAGCTAAACATTTTGTTTCAGTTGTATCACTACATTAGGCTTCCGTTTAATGGTGTGTGTTTTTGAATAAAATATGTATCAATACATACAGTACGTGTATTATACATTTTATGCTTAAAGTACGTGAGGTTTCCAGAATTTTCTGAAAAATTCATAAACGAAAGTATTAAACGGGAATAAAATACGTATCAATACGTACGGTACGTGTATTATACATTTTATCCTTAAAGTACGCGAATTTTTCCGAATTTTTTGAAAAATTCATAAACGGGAGTATTATACGTGAATTATACGTTTGAGTGTATTATATGTGAATTATACGTGAATAAACTAACAGAGCTCCAAATAGGCACATATAAAAGTCAATCCTGCCATCCCCTCCCTTCTGAAAAGTCCCTCATTTAAACAAGCCCCAAGACCAAATCATTTCACTCAAAAATGGAAAATGAAAGAAGTGGTCCCACATTTTTTCGTTTAGTTCACAATAATGATTTCTATTACTACGTATATACACAACAATCCTTCCACCCATTTGATACTACTACATATCACAAATTACCAATAAGATACATATGAAATGCCTCAATCTCTTCCCTATATTAAAGATATTAGGTGGGAAGGTATGAACCTATTTGAGTCCCAACTATTGTCTGAACAAGTCCAGTTTGCTGGAAGGAGAACGTGTGTAGGCAGCCTACGCCATTTGGAGCAACTGTCGCTTAATTCATTCTTTATATACATTAATTTTCCGACGGGAACACAATTAAGAAGACAATGATAAGAACATGTATATATGTTTCCAATCTAATCATCTAAAAGTGTGTTTGGTATAAAGATTAAGAAATATATGAATAGGCAGTTAGTTGAGCCCAAAATCTATGCGACTTGCATTATATTCTTTAAATTCGCAGTCCTCAATTACAACTATGGTTGGGTTAACATTTGGAGG